GAACATCGTTCCAGCGTTCTTCTAACCGGTAACCCACGCATAAATAATATAAGACTGGTTGTGTGGAGGATCCTCATTATATGGAAGAAGGATATTCTTGGAATTCGGTTGAAACATCAGACTCAGCAGAGATTATAAGCTCCTTTTCGTGTTGAGAAAGTGATTTCGTTAAGCTATGACGGGGGTTAGATAATATCGAAAAAACTAGTAAGTGGTCTTCTGGACTAAGCTTGAAAGGGTGTATCGAGATAAAAAAGGTTCCTCAGAATAGAATAAAAAATTTATGATTGACATAGTTTACGGTTTAACATACGATATAAACATGAATTCAAGTCTGAAATTACCAAAGATAAGTGACAATTGAAAATGACATGTATGAAGTACGTAAATAAAGCTTTCAGATTGTTCAAACTTTACTTAATCTTTCTTACTTTGTTACTTATTAACTGAATCATTTAATTTCGAAAATATTAATAGTAAAGGGAAATACATTATGTAAAGAATGACTATAACTTGAATTGTTTCCAAATAAAAAGATAACCTATGATTTTTTCAACAGAACGGAAAGCTTACCTGGATCCAATTATTTTCATAGATAATATTTGTTATTACTAGACCATCGTGTAAAACTATTTCTCGAGTGGTAAGGTAGATTATAAGTGGTAAATACATCAATATCACAAGATCACAATCTTCCAAAATAATCACGACTGAATTGGTAAAATTATTGACAATATTTTGTCTCCTTTAACTTAGGAACGATTAATAGCAGCTTTACATATCACGGTTCTTTTCGTTACGTGTTACCGACAGAGATATTGGTCGGTTCAAATTCGAGTTACATCATAATCTGTGGTTTTAACCTTATTTGCAATACAATTGCACAAAATAAAGAGGTCTAATCTACATACAAAACTCTTAAAATGATTGTAGTTAGTTATCTTTAAATGTTCATAATGTTATATTTTAGTTAGATTATTAACTAGGCTATCATATTAGTAGTTACAATTGAATCAACAAATCAGTTTCGTGGGTTGCTGATCTGTTCAATGATGGGTCTATGCAAGAAGCAGAATTCTGAATTATTTATTTGAACATGACGTTGTGTTGACATTTGATGTATATGATGAAATTTGTTTCGTAGATAAAATTAATTGGTTAAATAAAGATAAATCTAGATGGTTCATCTTTCGCAAAATTAAGTAAATACTGTTTCCTTAACTAAATTTTGCTTATTGTGGATATCAAATTATTTCGTTTACCTGAAACTTTTGAATTTTAGCGATAATTTTGTAAAGTTAGCATACCTATATCCATAATTTAAAAATTTCGAAGTGAATTATAACTTGGAAAATCCTAATTATAACGACACCTTCGTACCTCAACGCAATTCAGATAAGATAAAGCTTCAAATTGCCGATTATCTAATTCAAACAATTAGGTGACTTAGTGTTTATACTCGGCTGAAGATAAGACCTGATCATTTTATAACATTGAATGTCATGGGGACTTGAATACCTTTGTAAATATTTAGCTTGGTTAGATAACTAATTGTTACTTTTTTATACATTTTTTTATGTAGGCTATTATGAAAATTTTCAATTTCGCAAACTTTCTTCTCATATTATCTAGTGCCTAAGTTTTGTATATTTTTCTCCATTCCAAAAAAGTTCTAGTCGATCAATTCAGGCTTAGAAGTAATATAGGTAGTGTTTTATATCGAAAATCTTGATTGTTAGAGAAACATTGTGTTCATATCCAACCACTTATCCGCACATATTTGAATTTTTAATGTAGATAACAACAGCTTGAAATGAATAATGTTTCTTTGTGGTAATGAAAGACGTGTTAATTTTAAGTTATTTATAAATAGGAAATTCTTTTTCTCCATGATTACATTGAAAATTAGTGTCAGTTCATTTAGTTGGGCACGAATTTCATTTTGAAATGTAAATTATCGCCAAAAATTTGATAAAAAACAATATGACTGGATGATATTTTCAATTTTATCTCTCACATTTGGACTGTTGATAAAGTGAATTGTTGAAGGTCATATCGGATTAAACTTGTCAGGGACACTCAAGTTCATTAATAGTTATGAGGAGTTTAGTAATTCTACTTGAAATTTGATTTATTTGAGTCTTTCTCACACAGTTTCATTAATTTTTAAACGAACCCATTCATTTAATTAATACGAAACATACCTTATTTTCTTATAATAATAAATAAGTTTTTAAATGGTAATAAATAACTTTTTCGGCCGTGAAAGCCTAAACAATTTCTTAATAACATTTATACATTTGAATTCCAAGTATATTTCATTATTCATTTTAGAATTATGGACAAAAATATCTCAGTTTCATTACACCTTATCACTCTTTCTCTTTCCTGTTTATAAAAATAAAGCTCATTTATTACACGATAAGTCTACCGCAGTGCCATCTTTGAACAACAATGAGGACCAAAACTGACTACAAGGATTTGTATCTAGGAAAACTGTATGTTTTAATTCATATGAAAAATATGCTCTGTTTCTATAAACGAAAAAAGGTGGTTATCTAATTTTATCTACAATTGAAAATGTACCGTTCAAGAAACACAATTAAACGACACAATTACGTATTTTGCGACGTTTTCAATATTCAATATGCTGACTATTTTAAGTAGTTGTTTCTGTTGTTGGTAAAACATGTTTTTTCTGTAGAAATGATTGAGTGGAGCAGTCAGTCATGTACAGTGTGAACTAAAATGAGTCATTTGTCAATATTGTTATCCAATTGATAATTTCGCGATCAGAGATACGAAAAACAATCCGGGAAATCACTGAACTAAATGGAATACTGTTTACATGTTGTCACTCATATTGATCCTAGAAAATATATGGTATTTATCATGTTATTTTATATCGTGATTGAAACTAAAATGAAAATTTAAGTTGTAACTTTCACTTATACTAGACGGTTTGAGCATAGATGACAAAATACAATGAGATAAATCTTCAATCAATTATCTGTCGCAGTTTACGTCATTTGAGTTTCGGAAATCACATTAATATTTAACGCATCTCATGCAACAATCTTTCCATCTTTAAGTAGACACACAGTATTGATTATTTTTTCGTTTGAATTATTTATATTGGTGAGAAATAAAATTATTCAAGTTGTAGTGCAAAAGCTAGTTAATAGGACAGCAGACTTATCAGTTAGCACCATGCTAAATCTTGTATGGTTTACTGGTTGGCTTCCCTTGTTTGACTTGGAGTCATTTTATCTTTAAAGGTTCTCCAATTTCTTTTTCTTTCGGTCAACAATCTTGCTGTATAACATGTGGATGCATTCCACAAGTGCATTGAACATTTTTGTCTCTGGTGCAGTTTCTCTAGTGTTTTTTCAAGTATGACAATATCAGGACTATTGTTATGGACAGTTCAACCAGTTCAGATTGTTCCTCGCCAGTATATCATGATAATCTTGAACCTCTGTTTGATAACTATGTAGTTGTAAAAAGATAACTTTTCTCTTCTTGGAAAATTGTAGTTTGTGCTGTTGGTACTTTTGGTATCAATAGGTATTCGACAATATTTTTATTCATGATGACTGCTTTTCGTCTCTCCAATCGCTATTTTGTCTATAGGTGTTGTTTTATATATTTCTTCTTTTTCGAAAGTAACTGTTTCAATTTATATTAATTATGTTGAAAAAATTTCACGGGAATTGTTTCATTCATTTATGATGTATGATTCGGGTTACTAATACATTATCGAGAGTTGATTGAACCGAATTATTATAGGTTAGAAAAAAAATTAAAACGGTTTTTTAAATTTTATGTACTTTCAAACTGTGTCCTACCAATTTTTGTATGAGATGTCGACTGATCTTATTGATTATGTCGTTATCGGGTCTATTGGATTGTGTTTATTGAACAAATGAAGAAAAACGATGTTAATTATGTAAATTTCTGAAATTTTTTGTACTCATATGAGATTGTCGAACATATGAGATTGTATTCGAAACGTTATCAAGCAAAACTCGAGATAAGAATTGGAAGAACAAATAGTACATTATGTAACGGTGTTAAATTACTATATAATCGCTCGGACAAATAAAGTAACGAAGGTTGGATATGAGTAACAATCTTAATGACTACATTCCTATGATGCAACGTTTCTGCGGTATATAAATTCCAGTACTTGTGGGATTATGCAGAGTTTGTGTATGAAAGAATCTCATCAATTTCTGATCACTTTTTATTCTTAGAAGACTACAGTTCTACACATTCCATAGCAAAATTGAATTTTGACTTATTATCGTAATAAAAAGACTCAAACGACTGATAATTTAGGAAGTGTTTTAATCACTAATTTTCATGTTCAATGAATTTCAATAATACTAATTCATTAAAGGCTCAAAATTAGCGGGTGATAGACAAGCCGACGGCCGTATTTTCATCCCTCCCAGAAATATACCCTCTATAAATATGAGCCCTACAGTTCCTTTCTGGAAATATTTCCATTCTTTCAAGGGAATAAATTATCTCCTCTTTTGGAATCTTTTTTCAAAGATGAAAAATGTCAAATAAATTTTGAGATATTTAAAAAAACCAATCCCAGTTCTTCATTTAATTATTCATAACTTCTGTGATTTTTCCATGTGAGATTCTTATTTTTGAAAGAATCTTATACACGTTGCTTCGAATCAAGTTTCACCTCGTTCATATTTTTCGTAGGCGAAGATGAAAGATTGGCCCAAAAAGCATTTGTCGACTGACTATTTAAACTCAGTAGTTCAAAGACTTTATATTAATAGAAAAAAAGATAAATATAACTTGTTATATTATGAGTAAAATAATGGATAATTACATACATCTGTAACTATTTAATAAACATGCTGACAGATTCCCTCGGTCCTTAAATTCTGGTTTTTGGGATAGTATTCTTTTTACAACGCCTATCATATATCACTTTTCTAACCATGAAACTCATAAAAACTGACAAATGCCCATGTCTTACCCAGGATTCGAACCTAGATTGCTAGCGTGGCAGACGTGCACCTTAACCTATAGGCTACAAAAACAACGCATATTTTTTGATAAGGCAGTGTTATATATTGTGTTTGCATAAGAATATTTGTTTTGTTTTATATATTCAGATTTCAATCTCATTCATATCACTTGTTATTCGTAGAATATTTTGTTACAAACAATTTTGCACCTTAGTAGTTTTCAATTAATAATTACTTATACATTTCTTGAACAACTACCTTTTATTTCAAAACTTCAAATTGAAACACTCAATTGATCTAAAAATAACGTGAATTAATTACTATTTCAAAGAATCGATCTTAAAATATCGTCGAGTTTATGCTAGCTCAAATTCATGCATATCGATGGGCCAAATAAATATAGTTTCATTTGACGTAAAATGTTGACGTAGACGAGATGAAACTCCGTTAAAGTAGAACAATGGAAACTTGCCCGTTGACAGAAAAGATTTGGATATTGTCTACCCGAGCTCCGCCGTGCTTCGGCATGACACAATGAGAACTGTGTATCTCTCACATCTGGCTACAAATGTATACATTCATATAACAGACTACGTACAATAGCGCATATGTTTATTTCAGTGATGTTTTTCATTCCATTGTGTCTGACAAAATGGTACATTTCATCAATCGTTCTAATGAATAACGGCGTCAAAGGAGTTTCGATAATGTTCCAAATTACGCGTTGATTTATAATCAACATGTATCTTAATTTGACAGATAGGTACCTCAGACTTCTTGTTATGAGTACGAGTATATACCTAAGTGTGGAATAATCTTACTTTATAGTGTTGGGTACAAATACAAATGAGGATTTAACTATAAAGATTAATGAACAGAAAATTGGAAGAGCAGAAAGAAACAGTTAAATTTTTAGACATTATGTTAGACGAAAAATTGAGTTTCAGTGATCATGTTGATTTCATATCGTCTGAAATATTTGTAAAAATCAATTTTTTCAGAAGAATAGGATAAAATCGGCGACATATGTGAATTGATTCTTGTTCTAATCAATAATAATGCATAATTTATATAAAACTAAGTAGTTTGTTGATTTTCTTATAGATTCTTTTTTCTTATCTTCTTTTGATTTATTTATTTCAGAGTGAATACGAGTGTATGATTGTAATATGTATGTATGAGTTTGGTCAGCATTTAAGTTTTTTATTTCTATAAATATATTTCATTTCATCAGTTGTGATCATTTCACAAACTCTTTCTTTTAAAATTAAACTTAAAAATTTTGAAAGTACAAAATTAAAACTTTTGTACAACCAATTTTGTTTTTAGTATGTGTTGTGTTTCCTGATTTGTAATTAGGACCTGTCCTGTGAAACAGTGTATGTTAAATAAATAAAAATAAATAAATAGATGATTATGAAATAAATCAACTATTGGATTAATCAATATCTTTCCATTAAGCCAAGATTTCTGACCTCCAATTTGGACATGTAAGTTATTCAAATAATGCAATATCAATTTAATTAAAATTTTGAAGAACTCAAAAGTAGTGTTAGAAACGATAATAAAACAAAACTGAAAAGAAAACATGCTTCGTTCGTTTAAATATAGTTAAGTGATGGATAAGATGCATTATAATTGAACACTTACATTGTGTTGGAAATAATTAGCAGGTAATTTCTAACTAGGTTTTCACACTGGTTTGTTATTTACTTATTCATTTATGCATGGAGTAAAATACTTGTCATGTAACGTGAAAGATATTCAGTCAGTTTGGAATAATACCGCAATATTCGTTAGAAACCTAACAATTGCGAAATCGTTTTGTTTACAATCTTCAGCGGTCTAGGAAACATGTTTCCCTTTTAAATATGGTTAATAACAATCATATTAATTATTTATATACGTTATATTTGTAGGTAGATGCTACATTCGGAGGCACAAGTTGTTTGCCAACGTATATTTACTGTATTTTCCGGAGTTGTGATTCTCTACCGTCTGATAGATGGCGTTTGTGAGTATTCCGTACCATTACAGCGTGTCTTCGGAACGCATAGGGTAGTAGGAAGGAATATTGATGGTTACTTTGCCTGGTCGAAGGACTGACGATAACTGCGGTTACTGAGAATCTTTTGAAAATGCGAAACATGTCCAGTGTGTTTATCAATCGCTGAGTCCAATATATTAATTGCTAGAATTCACGATGCTGAGTTGATAAGGCTTGTAGAGAGTGTTTTATAGAAGGTTTTTCAAATTATAATTAGACCAAGTGAAATTAATAAATTGTTGAAAATGAGAATTTGGAATTTCGTATTTTGAGGAGTATATTTTCCAATCTGGAAAGAATGAGCAATGTAAAGGGAGTTATATTTCGCAAATTCGAATGGCTGCCGTCATCCAAACTTCAATAAATCATATTTGGCAGATAATAAATCGATATATGGACGAGGGAATGAAATTTAATCTACTATCTTTCCGGATACGTGCCGAAAACGCAAAATTGAGATTGGTCATTTTTCAAGGTTATTATTTGATTAGAGAATCGGGGTTAAAAATTAATGAGAAGCTTCAACTGAAGTGAAATTATTTGTTTGTATATTGTACTTCTTATGTGTACTGAGTTGATTTATATTATACCTCCATAATGCATTGTGAAATTGTAATAACATTAGTTTTTTTGTATTTGCCTGCGATCTTTACAAACTAAAAATATAAAGCTTATTGTAACTAAACTAGTACTGTTTGTGTTTTAGTGATAAAGAAGAAATTATCTGTTATCTCTCCCGACAAATGTATGGAGCTTTGTATTAACTGAAACGTTTTGAATCACGGCTTTGTATTTTTTCTTATGTTAAAGTATAACATCTGAATGAAAAAGGACAATTGTAGAAAAACTTTTCACGAAAAAATAGGTTAGATAGGTTAAAATTCCAGATTAAAAAAAAATAAATGAACTATTTAGAATTCGAAAAAAAAATGGAATCCTGATTTTAAGGGACATAAAACATTCTTGATTGGTCAAGTAGGCATATTTACTGTTAATCGTTGACTGAGAATCTTCTATTTGCTTGTCAAATTTAAGGTACTTGCTGTTTATACTTTAAATTCGTCATGCTTATTGAAATGTCTAAAGGGATTGAATTAGGGTAAAATGACAGTTGTGACATATGTTTCAAGAAAGAGAACGAATATAACGAATGAATATATATACGTTACAGTGCATTTTTCTGTTATTCTACACTAACTATTGGTGCCTAGCATTGAAATATCCAAAAATTAAAGACTAAATAGAATTGGGCTTTTTGGAATATTCGATTTACATCTGTTGGTTAATTTTCTAATAAGGGTAGATAATGACAGCCCTGAACCGAAAGACTTGTAGGAAGTTATGTCCAAGAGTAGACAGTAATGATAGTAACATATTTTCACTAAATTTTGGCCTCCGAGTTAAAAAATGTTATCAATTTTTCTCTATTACGTTAAGTTTTTAATCTGCAGAGCACCTTCTCTTTACCCTAAAAGTCCTACTAAACTGGGTATTTCGACGTAATTCTGCGTTAGTGTGTTTCCAAGAAAGTCCTTGACAGTACTTTTGAATGCCAACCAAGCATTCTTTTCAATTGCGGTCATTGTTTCAATGAAACGTTCATCTTTAATAAATTGCCGAAATTGTGGCCCATCAAAGACACCAACCTTTATCTTCTCATATGACAAGCTTAGGAAATGCCGAAATGATATACTTACTTAAAACAGTTCCCCTCGGTTAACAAAGCTTAACAAATGGGTTAATGAGACCTAACTTATGAAGGAAACAAACCATTTTAAGCTAAACACAGATGATCCATTGGTGTAAGTTATATTGCAACAAGTCAATGACCTTCTTTATTCTTCGTATTCTTAGTGCAATGAAACTGAATGACTTATTGGGACTGAACCATATAAATTTTCATTGTGGAGGAGAACACACTTCAATCTACGTTTTGAGAATTATAAACAATCACCATTGGGTTGCCTTGTAGTCTGAAATTACCAATTCTTCCTTTACGAACAGAATCATCGCCAACTTTGAAATCTTTGTCGCTAAGGTCACTTCGATCGTCGCTCAATTTATGTTCTTGTATTTTTAAATTTGTTGATTCTTTCTGGCTACAGGAGTGCAGTTTGGTTTTCTGTAATTGGCGTTCAGTTCCGCGAACCGTATTAGTATCTTCAACAACTGCAAGAGAAAACTTGGCGTGTTAGAAAAAACTGATTAAAGTTTTGGAATCAGTATGTCAATTTATCTCTAAAACAGCCTGAAAATCGAAATCAACAGAAATTATGTTAAAAATTGTTCCCCAGTGTTTTCAATGGAAGTGGTTCAAAAACCTCCTTTTTGGATAGTGTGGGTTTATCCAAAAGAAAACCGTTATAATTCGTTACTTTTAATATATTTTCATTGTAACAAAATACCCTAGCATGTCTGCAAAACACCAAATGATGAGTTTGTTGTGTGAAGTGAGAAAACTATCGATTTTTCAATTGTGTACGAAAATTTCCTACACATTGGTTAAATTTAATTGATGTTGAATTCGAAACATGTTACCTACATGTTTAAAAGCTGAGAAAGATATATCGAACATATGTTCAGCGGTGAATAAACTTCCAAAAGGAAAACCGTATTATTTTTCTGTTATTTTTACGGATCGGAATGGCTGCCGGCTATCGAGATACTCATAAATTACATTCGGCAGGTAGTAAATCGATAAATTGGCCCTGGAAGTGAATTTGTTTGCAGTATTTTTGGCTCAGGCTTGCGTTAGATACTCCAAATTCCGTTTACTCGATTGAAATATGAATGACCGAAAAACAACAAAAGGCACATTGGGATAACAGTCCATTAGGATTTTACCAGATATTTTACTGTATAATTTCGTAAGGATTTGAAGATTTTTCCAAATTTAACTGAAAAAGAATATTTACCAGCCTATAGACAAACCGATTTTCCTCATTGGTTTTGGTGAGGAATATTCGTTTCTCGCATCATATTCAAGATATAATTCAACAACATCAATATGGACTTTTATGAAATA